AGAGGAGGAAGTATGTGGATAAACACCACATAAATGCAGGGTGGTGGTATGTTCGTTCGTCGTAATATTTTCGGTCTGTTTGACACTACTACGGTGGTCGTTTTGTGTATGAAGAGATTTGGTGTGTTGGGCTGTTTTGTAGTATTTTGTGGTGTATATAAGGTTGGAAAATAATGTATACATGTTGATATTGTTTTATTCTTGTGTTGTTGGTGTTATCTTGAATTTGGAAGAAGTAAGGATTATAGGGGAGATACTGCCCGTTTTAATACAAACTAAGCTTGTCGTTCTTTGTGCGATAGTTGTACCTTTCATAACTTAATGATAGTATTATTATCGTTGTTGTAGATTAAGGTACTAAGAGGCGAGTTAAACTCGGTGATTGGAAAGATTGTGATAAGGTATGTTAAGGGTAAACCTTTCTTCATTTTGGCATGATCCCGTAACTATATGTGTTTGGTAACGAAGCATAAAGAGAAGTTCATACTCCTAAATTTATATACATAATCCTAGTTTCATAAGTTACAGTATTCTCCCTTATCGGGACTTTATATTCAATTGAGTATTGTCTTCTTCCAGTCAAGAGAGTAGAGGGTCTATATATATACAGTATTACAGTATTTTCACCACCCATCGAGTTATAATCGGTGGACAGGCCCCTATTGGGCAACCTCTGATCAGATGGTAAGTTATATACCGAGACTACTGTGGCCGAACGCCTATGAGCGAGTCCAGAATGGCCGAGATACAGAGCCTAGTATGACCAAGCGCCTATGAGCGAGCCTACTACGGCAGGGTAGTTACACATACCAAGCCTTATAGGGTCGGACAACTATTTTACATACTATATGGAGAGAGCTAAGACAGTATCAGCAAGTAAGCATATCTTCAGATTATTTTTTACTCCAGTTACATTCAGTTATTATATCACCAGTTCAGTTTCAACTTTCAGTTTTTCTGTTGCCTTACATACTCAGTACATTATTTTGTACTGATATCCCTTTGCTGGGGATGCTGCATTTCATGCCTGCATGTACTGATAGACAGCTGGATAGACCTTCCCAGTAGACAGAGCCAAATATCAGCTTGGTTGGAAAACTCCACTTCCCCGGAGTTACTAGGTCTAGACCTTGTAGTCCTTTTTATATNTTTCAGATGATTCAGAATATGGCCTCATCGGCCTAGGTTGAGGGTTACCTCTCTAGAGTTCACAATTACAGAGTGGTATGCCCAGTAGCCGAGTATGGTACCGGGTGCCGGCCACGCCTCTTCAAGTTTGGGGTGTGACAACAGGTCCTCACCATCTGTGAGAAAGAATAGAATATAGAAGTTTAGAATTTTTTGATGTCAACATATTTCGAACGATAAGGAATCAAAAAAGTATAATTTTTCCTAACAGTTCCATAGCCTCCCGAAGATAAGTACAGACGTCTCCGTACCGATCTGCGAGACTCTAATAAACTGGCTTGTGACTCACGACACCTATGAACCTAGAGCTCTGATACCAACTTGTCACGACCCAAACTCCCTACGTATAACGTCGTGATGACACCTAGTCTCTACGACTAGGTAAGCCTAACAAATTGCGAAAAATAACAAACGAAAGTAAAACTTGGCAACTAACAATAGTGGATAACTGAATAACTAGTAACAATGCCGCTCGGCATGTACAATAACCAATACTCTATAAATACACAGTCTTCCCAAAACCCGAAACATCATAAGTCACAAGCTACAGAAGGAAACTAATATTTCGATACACCAGAGTCTAACAAAAGAAGTACGGAAGGTAAATGGCATAAGAGGGAATAGAGGGGGACTCCGAGGTCTGCGGACGCGGCAGATGTACCTTGAAGTCTCCATACAACAACAAGCACTCTCAGCTAATAGCGGGGATGATAAGAAGTACCTGAATCTGCACACAAAGCATGTGCAGAAGAGTAGCATGAGTACACCACAACGGTACCCCGTAAGTGCCAAGCCTAACCTCGATAGAGTAGTGATGAGGTCAGGTCCAGACCCTACTGGGATATAATAACAAGACAAGTGATATAATAAAATGCAGTAAAAATGGAGAATTTAACAGAAGAAATTCACAGAGAAATAACAACACACAAATAATATGATAACAACAGGGGCGCTCTTAAGATACCGTCTCGTAGTCCCAAAAGTAAATGCGCGAGGAGATCTCCCGAGGTATCGCCTCGTAGTCTCAAAATTAAATATGCAGGGAGAACTCCCGAGAAACCGCCTCATAGTCTCAAAAGTAAATTTGCAGGGAGAACTCCAGAGGAACCGCCTCGTAGTCTCAAAAGTAAATATGCAGGGAGAACTCCCGAGGAACCGCCTCGTAGTCTCAGAAGTAAATATACAGGGAGAACTCTCGAGGAACCGTCTCGTAGTCTCAAAAGTAAATATGCAGCTCAAACCGATAAATACAACAGTTAACGGGCAGATTTCTACAGTTATGCTGATAGAGAACAAGGAAAAGCAGGAAATCAACTAGGCATGCTTCACAGAGTTCAAATAAGCAGTTAGAGCACGTAGACATGCAATATTAGACTAAACAGGATAGCTACACATATTGTAGTAGCTCAATTAAGAATGAAAACAGGCTAATACACATTTAAACGGTATAACTCAAATTAAAGGACAAACAGATTACGTACTTGTCACCTCACGTACACGGCGCTCACATATCACAAGAGTACCAAATCCTAAGGGGATTTTCCCCACATAAGGTTAGGCAAGCCACTTACCTCGAACCAAGCTCAATCAATTAGTTAGAATGCCCTTTCCTCGATTATTCGACTCTGAATGGCCCAAATCTAGCCAAAAACAATTACATATCATAAATACAACTATAATAGACTAATCTAATTAATGAAATCAAGACTTTAACAAAAATTTCAAAAACCGTCCTAAAAAGTCGACCTGGGCCCACGTCTCGAAATCTGGTAAAAGTCACAAAATACGAACACCCAATCAACCACGAGTTCACCCATATAAAAATTACCAATATCTGACATCAACTCGACCCTCAAATCAAACTCTTCAAATCTCTAGCCTCAACTCCCAAATTCGACCTTAAATACACACTAACTATGTGAAAAAATAAATGGGGAAGCAAAATTATTGATCAAAAATAACCACCAGGAACTTACCTCACGAAATTCCTCGAAAATGCTCTCAAGAAATCACCAACCCAAGCTCAAAAATGAAGAAAATGACCAAAAACCTCGAAGCCTCACTTAAAAAGGTTCTACCCAAGCATTTCCGCACCTATGGAACCTCGGCTCGTACCTGCGCGTCCACTTGTGCGGCGAAAATAGCGAACCACTTACTCTCCTCTGCCTCCGCACCTGCGATGAAGGGGGCGCACGCACCTGTGGAATCCTGTCCGCTTCTGCGCTCTCTCTTTGCACTTGTGGTCAGCCGTGCGCATCTGCGGGCATTGCAGATGCAAACTTTTCTATGCACCTGTGACCCCTTACCAATCCACCCAACTCCGCTTCTGCGCCATATTTCTCGCACCTTCGATCAGCCTTGCGCAGGTGCGATTACACCAAAACCAGAAATCTTCAGCAACTAGCCAAAGTCTAAATTCAATCTGTTAAGCATCTGAAACACACCTGAGGCCCCCGGGACCTCAACCAAACATACCAACCAGTTCTAAAATACTATACGAACTTAGTCGAGCCCTCAAAACACGTCAAACAACAACAAAACACGAATCATCCTCTAATCCAAACTTAATGAACTTAGAAACTATAAATTTCTACAACCGATGCCGAAATCTATCAAACCACGTCCGATTGACCTCAAATTTTGCACACATTTCATAATTGACATTACAGACCTACTCCAACTTTCAGAATCGGAGTCCGACCCCGATATCAAAAAGTTCACTACCGGTCAAAATCTCCAAAAAAATGACTTTCGCCATTTCAAGCCTAAATCAGCTACAGACCTAAAATTCACAGTCCGGACACGCTCCGAAGTCCAAAATCACCCAACGGATCTAACAGAACTAACGAAACTCCACTCGGGAGTCGTCTTCACATATTTCCGACTACAGTCAAAAATCCTAAGACTTAAGCTTTCATTTTAGGGATTTATTGTTCCAAATCACTCTGAAACCACAACAAACCTCTCGGCAAGTCACATAAGTAGAAAACGATACAGGGAAAGCAGTAAATAGGGGACCAGGGCTATTACTCTCAAAACGATCGGTCAGATCGTTACAACAACCAACTTAGCAAGTAACAATACTAAATAAAGAACTGAAAGTAGTGACGAGCTTCTTAGCTAAGTCCAATTATAGTAATTTCCAACATAAGAAAGTAAGCATGCTTGCAAGTTCAACAATTAAGGCCCAAAGAGTAATTTCATATCAGGTTTGACTGAAACATGAGATAATATCTTTCGGAAATTTTCCAAAACAGGGATGTATGACAATTGTAGTACAACAATAATGAAATCAATGCATCCTCTCAGAGCAACAGTCACTCAGTCCTCCCACTTGCTTAACACTCAGCACTCGCACTTAGTAGGTACCTGCGCTCACTAGGGGTGTGTACAGATACCGGAGGGACTCCTTCAGTCCAAGCGCTATAATACGCACGGACAACTCACGTCCTTTAGGTTATTTAAGGGTAATTATAGGTTTAATTGATTAATATCCTAAAATATATGGTACTAAATAACTCGATATATTACATTACTATCTCTTTATGAAGGGGAGTCTTGAAACAACAGTTAAGAGATCTTCGTGTGACTTGTAAGTTACGGGTTCGTGTCGCGAAATTAGTTACTTATATTTACATCAGGATAGAATATCTATATTACACCCCTTAGAATACGGTTTTCCTGGACCTTTCATAAATGCAGAATATTTTATGGACCGAACTGCTTGTTTTACTGTCTTCCTATGGATATATATGACTTCAATAGTAAAGGACAGTGATACTGTATATGTTCTATTTTGCTATAAGAGGTAAACGCGGACTTTCCTATTCCTGAACCACATCTTTTGATGTAACTAGCTGTAAAGTTACCATACATAGCATCCACCCTCCTCCTCTCTCTCTCTTTCGGTTTTAATTTTCTTTTTCAGCCTCTCTGAGTTTTAATTGGTGGAGCTTCTGATATAGACGAATAATATCTTCAACAAGCTAAGAAGGAGAAGGAAGGAAAAGGAAATGGAACAAGGAGCATCTTTCTCTTGAAAACATAAAAAATTTCCTTTGTTTTTTGTTTTTTCAGTTCCAAGAAGAAGTGAACAGTGCCGATTCGCCAATTCAAAGCATATACTATATCGTTTTGTAACTTGAGAGGTACTCTAGCACGTTCATACCCAATAATTGGTGCATTTTCATAGGTTTTCTAACTGGATCTGAACTGGGGGTTTCTTTAATTTTTTTTTCTCTTTCCCTCTTTTAGGGTTTCTTTAATTTTACTTAGTATTACATTACTGTTCTAAATTCACAAATATCTAGTATCTCTAGAATCCAGATTTCTCTCTTCTCTCTCTTTTGTGTAGTACCCTAACTTCGTATGAGTGTGTGAAATAGTGTTCTTTTGTTTTGTGTGATGTCGATAACTGTCATCTACAACATAATATAGGAACAATCTTCTGTCAGTCACTCAGGTATGATATAATTGTGTAAAAGTATTATTTTCAATTCTTGTTTATGCACTTGTGAGTGTACGGAAAACAGCTAGTAAAAGAAATGCTACTGTGAATTTAGAATGGCAAGAGAGAAGATTAAGATAAAGAAGATTGACAACATAACCGCAAGGCAAGTGACATTTTCAAAGAGGAGAAGAGGGCTTTTCAAGAAAGCTGCTGAGCTTTCTGTACTTTGTGATGCTGAAGTTGCACTCATCATTTTCTCTGCTACTGGCAAACTCTTTGAGTATGCTAGTTCCAGGTATTACCAGTTTCTTTTTATTTCTTATAAGTTTAACATACAATATAATACAGTAACTAGTATAATAATTCTTAACTCAAGAACATATTAAAAGAAAATTTGAGATGAAAAATTAAAGACATGTCTGGTTTCTTGTGACAAGAGGAAGCAAAGGGGTATTACTACAGGCAAAGACAACTGTTAAATTTATCGGATTTTATTCCAAGAAAATTACCTCGTGTCTCACGCCTTATGTTATATTCCATCCGTTCACTTTTAGTACTAAAAATAGATTTTTATTTTTATTAGTTATTTTATGCAAATTAAGAAAAACATAATTTCTTTTTATTATATCCACAATATTTATTAATCATTTCAAATCATTTTCTCAAATCCAATAAAATATGCATCAATTAATATGGGTATCATGTTAAATTATGCACTTTATTTATTATTTATTAAGGGGCATGAAAAATCAAAATGTGTCAAGTAAAAGTGAACGAAGAGAATACTAATTAAATTAGTTTTTTGTTCTAAAGAATCGTCAATTATATTAATTAAAGAAACCCTAGGAAATATTTTGTCTTGACCAATGTAGATTGTTATTTTTGCTCAACTTTTAGCTAATTGGAAAGAATCGATAGTCATCTGCAATCATGGACTTCCTACCGTAGATTTATTCTTTTTTACTAACCGTGATATCCTTCGAATGTCAACTAATTTCGAGTAATTTGTTGCTTTCCACCTATACATACATATCCATCAAAACTTGGGAAGGGAGGAAATCCGAATACAAATCTGTGCTGCTTCTCTAAATAAGCATTAGTAGTATTTATTTGCTTACTAGTTATATATATCAATGTTAATTATGGTATTTTGTTTTTCTTCTTAACTTTGAAACACTGCTATTTTATAATCTAGTTTATATTAGTACTACCTTTTAGTATATGATATTACTACGATATCCAATTTATATCCTTTAGTAATAAATTTCGTGTCAGTTGTCCTTCTTTAGTCAAATCTTTCCATACATCAGTCAGCTTATTGGCTAAGATGGACAAGATAGGTCTATTAGTAGTACAAATAGGAGTATGTCTTTTGGAAAATGGGAGGGGCAGACTAAAAAGGGTCTCATTGCTTATTTTCTAATTAGGAACTAATTAGTGCTTTAGAATGCTCCACGAGAGTACAATTATGATTATTAGTCCTACAATTTTTTCCATTTTTAATTTTTCACTTTGACCACAAATGAAAATGAGTCATGGAATGTTCTAGTGTGGAGTATTTGTTTAAATGATCTCTGTGATTAAGTCAAATTAATATTTTAATTCAGAACGTGCCCTTATTGAAGTATATAATGGCAAAGTGATAATATCCATTGAAGTTAACGTACATTAAGATATAGAAGTAATATCGAAAGCAATTAGTGGATTCTTTACTATTGCATAGTAATATACAAAACCACGTAATAATTCCACTAATTGGTTGCTAATTTTAAATTGTTACTTTGGTTGTAATTCGACCTTTGCTTGCTAGGTGAACTTGAGCATTTATTTAAGGTTCTTATAATCAGCCTTTTAATGTTTCTTTTTTACCATGCTACATTGTATAGTCCTAGAGCAAATATTGAATTGGTATAATCTTTCTACATACAGACGCTAGTATATTTTGGAATTTAAACTTCATGATTAAAATCATAAAGGGAAGATCACAATCGACAAAATAATGTCAATGAGATTTTGGGTTATTATTTATTAAGTGCCAAGTATTTTCACTCCATTTGCAAAATTACCTCTCTCTTTATGGCTCCATGCACCTCACAGAAAGAACAAAACCTTACGCCGTTAGGAGAAGCATACAAAATTGAACCAACTTTAGCACTACTTTATAATTCAGAATATGGATGGAACTTTATTGACTAGTTGTTTTTTCTTTTTTCTCAAGTTAAATTCGTAGCTTCCTATCGGTAGTTAGGCATGCATGTCTCCTTTACATGCCGGTAACATTAATATTAATCTCGTATTTTCGTAATTTTGTATTTGTAAATTTCTTTTGCTATATGTTGTTTCTTTCGTTTTGATTATTCTATCACCTTATTCCTTTATCTAGCTGTTATTACTACTTGTTGTGTCTGCCACTTTTAATATTTTTTTGAGCCGAAGGTCTATCTGAATCAGTTCTCTACCTTGACAAAGGTCAGGGGTAAGGGATACATACACCTTCTCTGAGGCTACTTTGTGAAATTACATGGGGTATGTTGCTACTGTTGTTGTTGATTTATAAATTGAGAGAGATTATGTTCTCCAAATTAAGGTAGACCCTTGTCAATTGACATTCCAACTAAAGATATATTCGCGAAGAATATTAGAGAGTTATCTTTATATATATATACTGGAAAAAGTTTTGTTCTATGTATATGATGTATTACGAGAAGGGGAAAGCTTGAGTTCCAGTTATTAATAATTTGGTAGTTCAACATTAGAGAACCAAAAGGTTGTCTTTTTAGGCAAATTACATAGTGTTGAAATGAGATAGACTTGACTAAAAAGAAACAAAATATAGAGCATTCATATATGAGCTCTCCAACTAATCATATAGTTTTGAGACATAGTTGATTCATTGATTTTTGCTCGACGGTAATATATGTATAAAAGTGGATAAACACTTGAATTAACTCAATAATTAATCACCTTGTTCATGAATGCAGCATGGAGGATATCCTTGGAAAATATAAGTTGCACTCAAGTAGCCTTGAGAAAGATGACCAACCTTCCCTAGACTTACAGGTAATCTTTATTTAACATCTTATATACTCTATCAATTTATGTGACATAGTTTGATTCGATTATGAGTTTAAGAAATAATGAAAGACTTTTAAAATCTGGAGTCATATACATGTCATCACATTTGTGTGGCTATAAAAGTTTCTCATTAAATGTGTCATTCTTACGGAAACAAGCAATGTCACATGAACTGGAACGATGGAAATAGTAGATTTAATATTGTATGAGTAACTAGATGAGGCTATTGGTGCTTTATCGATCATTTGGACAAACTGAATTTCTTTTGCTGCTGAGTGAATTCTTAATATTGTATTTTCCCTATGATCAACTTATGGTTATGACAATGCTTACACTAAGCTCTACGTTTCTTTAGAGGCAAAAGAAATGTTTTGAACCTGTTTTTGAGCTGAATATTAAGCAGGATATAACATCCACAACAGCTGCATGTTTTACTAACTTTATTTGCTGCTTATCATATTGTAGCTAGAGAATAGCCTCAACATGAAATTAATCAAGGAGTTGGCTGACAAGAATCGTGAGCTGAGGTATAGCCTTCAACAATTCTTTCTTTTCCTCCATCACTCCTTTTATTGGCACTTTGTTTTAATAATTTATAATGGTGTGCATATTAATAATTGGCGCGCCTTAACTTTCACTATCACATGTATTGATAACTCTATTCATGAAAGCCTAGATATATTAAAAAACGTACCTGGCATTTCTTGTCATTGTTTAGATTTGAAATCGTCACTTAGAGATCTACCCTTCGATTAAAAAATTATACCGTTATATATATA